CTCCTGATTTTAAGAAGAATGCTTTTAGTTTTTCCTACTTGGTTGTTGGTTTGTTATACATAGTTTTATCATATTCAGTCAATATCTTTCTATAACAATTTTCTTTATAGTTTTATCATGAAGGGGTGTTGGATTTCGTTGAAGACCTTTTCTCCATCTGTTGACATGATCATATATTTTTTCACCTTGCTGCTGTTTATGAAATGTATTATATTTATGGACTTACTTGTGTTGAAACATCCCTGTATCTCTGGGATGACCATGATCTTTATGATGGTACACTGCTAAAATCATCATAAATATTCTATTTGCTAATATCTTGCTGAAAATTTTTACATATACATCCATTAAAGTGATGGGCTTATAGTGTTCCTTTTTAATTCAGTCCTTGCCCAGTTTTGCAATCAGGATAATACTGGCTTCCATAAATAAATTTCAGAGCACTCATCCCTTTCCATTTCTTTCAAGAGCTTGAGCAGTATTGTAGACAGAATATTCTTAAAGGTCTTGTAGAATTTAAGTGTGAATCCATTGGGTCCAGGGCTTTTTTTAGCTGGTGGGTTATTAACTACTGTCTCAATTTCATTGCATGATATTGGGTTGTTGAACATGTCTATGGCTTTTTGGGTTACTTTTTTTTTATCAGTACCAGGGATCGAACTCACAACTGCCTGCTTGCAAGGCAGGCACTTATGCCGCTGAGCTAAATCCCCAGCCCCTTTATTGGGTTACTTTTGTAATTTTCATGCATTTAGAGATCTGTCTATTTCTTCAAAATATGCTAATTTAAGAAATATAATTTTTCAAAGTAGCTACTGTCTTATGAATTTCAACAGTGACTGTTGTGATTTCAACTATTTTTCATTTCTAATTGCAGTGATGTGAGTCTTTTTCTCTTGGTAAGTCTGACTAAGGGCTTATCTATTTTATTTATTCTTTCAATGATCAATATTTTCATTTCTTTTATTTTTCACTCTCAATCTCATTGATTTTTGGTTTAATCTTTATAATTTCCCTCTTTAATTTTGTTTTGGGACTGGTTTGTTGTTTTTCAAGTATGTTAAGATTTCAAGTAAGTGTATTTATTTGGGCTTGGTTTTTCCCAGTGTGGGCACTGATTGCAATGAGTTTTCCTTTTATAATTGCTTTGTGGCACCTAGAGGTGTTGGTAAGTTGTAAAATCATTGTCATACAGTTCAAAAATTTTTTAAATTTTTTTTCTTTTATTTCTTATTTGGACATTACTTGTTTAGAAATATACTGTTAATTTTTCAGGAACTTTTGCCTTTTCTGAAACTTCTTCTGTCGTTGATTTTTGTCTTCATTACACAGTAGTCTGATAGTATGCATGGACGATTTCAATTCTTTTATATTTATGTAAGCAGGCTTTGTGGAATACTATGTGATCTATCTTAGAGAAAGTAGTATGTGTTGTGGAAAAGGATGGCTATTTTGTTGTAGAGGCTTGGAATACTCTGTAAATACCTGTTAAGTACATATGTTCAAAGATGTGGCTTAGAGCTAATATTTTTGAATTAATTAAGTTTATTGTTATATTTTAGATGGGCATCATGATCATATTCATCATAGAGAATTTATATCTATACATGATATATCCTGATTCTTTTATTGCCATTCCTCTCCCCTCCTTTAAACTCTTCTTCCTCTCCTTAGACTTACAAAAGCTTTGTTTCCATTTTTCTTTATCTTTTTTTATTCTTTTCCCTTCCTACCTTTCTCCTTCCCTCTATGTTGAATTTTTGTTTTATTTATTTCTTTGTGAAAGTGGGGTGTTAAAACCCCCTCTTATGGTCACATTAATGTTTGTTTTATCTTTTAATTTCAGTAACTTTCTTTTATGAATATAGGTACTGTGGGGTTTGGTGTATTTATGTTTATCAATGTTGTCTTTTCTTTTTGAATTGTTTCCATAACTGTATGTGGTGAAATTCTTTGTATTTTCCAATCAGATTTATCTTGAAGTTTACCATGAAGGCATAAATGTAGGAAAAGGTTTTCTAAAAGGAACCCCAATTGCACAAGAAATAGTGGCAGAAATCAACAAATAGGATTATATCAGACATAAAATCCCCTGTATAGAAAAATAATCAACTAGAAGAATTAACACAGAATGGGAAAAAATTTTGCCAGTGCTCCTCAGACAGAGGGCTAACATCTGGAATATGAAGAGCTCAAGAAATGGATAACAGATACGTATTGACTCTTTACAGAGGAAGAAATGCAAATGTTCAACAAACATGGGGAAAAATGTTCAACATTTAACAAATTAAAACTTTGTTAAACTTACATCTTACTTTGGAAAGAGATTGGCAGTCATTACAAAATCAATAATGCTGACATGGCTGTAGTAAAAAAAAAAAAAAGAACCCTAGTTTATTGGTGGGAATGTAAACTAGCATAACCATTATGGAAATCAGTATAGAGATTTCTCAAAACATTGAAATACAATTTCCATATGAAGCAGTGATCCCCTGCTAGCTATCTTCTCCAAAAAGCTTAAGACCTGCTACAGCAATACTTGCATGCCCGTATTCATAATGACACAATTCATAATAGCTGATTCCTAAAACAAACTGTATATCCATTAAGAGATTATTGAACAAGAAAATATGGTATCTATATATATATAGCAAGATACTACACTGTTATGAAGAACAACAAATTTGAGGCATTTGTAGGAAAATGGGTGCATCTGGAAAATATAATTCTGAGTGAAATAAACTTGGCGCTTGAGTTAAAATACTATATGATATCTCTCATTTAGGTGAAGCAATGTACAAAAAAGAATAATAAATGATAGAAGGGAACAAGTAGAAGAATCTTACAATAGCAAAGTGGTTGAAGGGCTCATGGATGAGGGGTGAGGAAGAGGAGAAGGAAAAGTTAGTACAATAAAGATATGCCATGTACAGGAACTTAATACCTCAATGTATGCAAACATTACATGCCATAACGTGAGCTAAGATTAGTAATAGCATCAAGAGTAAAAGTCGAGATAGGGGAATTAGACAAAGATGGAGGAGAAATACAGGAAAGGGGAAGAGGATTAAACAAAAACAAGCTGTAGTATGTACATGTACCAAATCCCTAAGATGATCATAAAGAACATGTACTACAAACATGTACTAATAAATTAAAAAAAACATAATTTAAAAGGGTTGATTAGAGGTAGACAAGAGGATGAATCTCTTGCAATAGAAAAATGACCTGAAGGGATAGGGGTAAGAGGAAAGGAAGGGGAAAACGTAGAATAAAGATATACCATATAAAGGAATCTAATAACCTCAGTGAATGTAAATATTACATGTCATATGAGCTAAGATTAATAATATCAATAAGAGTTAAAATTGGAATAGGGGAATTAGAGGAAGGAGAGTGAGGAGAAGGAAGGGGATTAAAAAAGAAGCAAACTGTGGTACATACATGTATCCCCTCTCTAAAATGACTGTAGACTGCATGTGATGTAAATAAACTAATAAAATTTTTCAAAGCTAAAAAAAATCCATATGAATAGAAATTTTCTTTTGTTTTTTGTGTGTAAATATGCATGTATTATATATATATATATATATATATATACACACATACATTTAATGGTATGTATACATTCATATTATATATATAACAAATATATTTGCTTTATAACTGATACTATTTAATATGTATTATATATTTATGTATATATATTTGTCTAATATTAAGAATGATACTTTGAGTTGGGTATTTTTCATATCTTTAAAGGAATCCATTGAATTGCCCAATTTCTAAGCTAGTAAATGGCAAATTTGAATCTTGAACCAGGAAGACTTGCAGTAGCATTTATGCTCTTCTAGCCATATGCCATAGAATGCCTTTCTGCGTTTAGAAGGCCACATACTAAGGAAGAGCGGTATAGGTAGATAGGAGGCAAATTGGTTCTTCAAGTCATTGTAAATCTGTTAAGATAGCTCTGAAAGTTTTATCTTCAGACTTTTTTATCACATAATATAGACCCATAACTTTTTAATCTCCCATGACAGAACTTTTTGTTACAGTCAAATGCAATCCTGATAAACCTTCACTGGACTGCTAGTTCCTCCATAAATAGCTCACTTCCTTTTTTAAGTTAGTGTGCCTAAAGTAGTGTTGGCATTCAAAAAAGTTAGTGATATCTGACCCTGTGTGCTTTCTAAGCATCATGCACTGATAATATCTTTGCATGTGTTGTTGTATTCCTATAACAACCCAATTGACCCAAGCTAAAGTTTATGATAATCATTCTTCTCTCTCATTCAGTGTCCAGTACCCCTGAATTTCAGAGCCTCCTCCCGAAGGAAGAAGGAAGTAATTTCCCCGTAAATATGCTATTCCTTACTCCAAAGGAGATGATGAATATAAATAAGTGAACTATCTCACACCAAGCATTCCTGATACCACATGAGTTTTCAGTGCATTTTAATTATAGAAATATGTTAGTTACTAATAACTATATGTGATTTTATATCTCTTGTTGGGGTTTATACATATCAAAATATAATTTTGAATAATGGTAATTCCTTTGAAAGTTGACTGATGTTGATGAATTTTTAAGAAATTTGGCAAATAGAGGAAATACATTGATGAAGGATGAATGACTTTTGTATTTTGTATTTGGAGCCTTCTCTAATCCTATAATATTTGCTTCATTGACAATTTTTGTTATTGTGTTTTAAATGTTGACATATCTTTGTCATATATTTTCATTTGACTATTAAAGTTGAGAAGTATGGTATAATATTATATTTTAGTCATTTCCTGTAACTATATATTAAACAGCTTATATAAGATTGTGTTAACTCAATATTATCTCACTTATCATTTTCTTATTATAGAATTCAATTTTAATAATTAGTAATATAATGACATTGCACTTTTAGGTCAGCTGTGATTTTCAGTAACAACAAAAATCAGTTTAATACAAGTGTGATATACATTTTCTTTTCTTCATATATTCTCTGTAGGCATTGTTGAAGCATATTCGTCACTGGAATGTGAAATAACATGGCACCCAGGTTTCACTTCTCCAGAAAGAGGCAAATTTATTCTTCATGTCATTGATGGAAATATATTAACTCTACAATGTATTGCAAATGTAATTATTTCTCTTGAACTAATTTTTATCTTGATACTCATAATTTTTGAGTATTTGCGTATGAGTATGTATCACGTATGTATAAATATGCAGTGTATGGAAAAACTGACTTTTTATGCCATATTTAATTAACCAAATCATATTAGGTCTTTCAAGGATCCTCTTGTCTACCATTAATGAAGGCTTCAATAAAAAATAATGTTATATTAATTAGAATTAACTCAAATTCAAGAGATTTAAAAAAAATAGTAGAGTGTAAGAGACTCTATAAATACATAATAACATCAAGTGAGCCACTTGAAATAAAAATTATTCGTTCATAGACAGCAAAGAAAAATATAATTATATTTGGCCCTACTATATTGCACTATTCATATTGTAGTAGCAGTAGCTAATAATTCAGTATAAGCTTGATCCTTCAATTTACATAGCAAAAAAATAAAAGTTTACTTTTGTAGAATATACTTTTTCAATATATGAGTAAAATTAAAGACACAATAAATAATTTTTTAGTTTATTTCTGTTTCTTTTCTTTTCTGTTTTTTTAATTTTTTTCTCATTAAGGGTATATTTTGTGTGTCAAAATTCCCATCCAGTGTTACTAAAAATTTAAAATAAGATAAATGCAAGTTTATAAACTTCCCTCGCTATTTCCAGGATATGATAGTGTTCCTTCATGTTTTAGCTGGGAAGAAACTTGTAGCCTAAAGTTATGAGAAATTTACCAACTGAAGTGATGGAAAATGACAGAACACAGTATTTTTTATTCTACCTCAAGACTGAAATAAGCTGACTTCTGATTTTCCTTACGTAGAAATTGCTTAATAACTTTTTATGTTCTTAAATGAACTATCTATTAATGGATGCATTCAGGAATGGAGCACACTCAAGTCTTCACAAATTTGTAACACTTTGTAAATCGCTACAAGGTCAGCTTGATCAAGAAAGAGCACGGTTTATATTACAAAAGACCCTCATCAATCTTAGTTAACATTTCTGTCAGAGTTCCTCCTAGGGTCACCAGTATTCTTACTTTTATAATTGTATGTTAGTTCTGACTCTGAACTTCATATACATGTAATCAAGCCCTATATGCTCTTTCATGCATGGCTTCTTTTGATCATTAAATTTATAATAATTTAGGTTGATGCATTTGATTGTAGAAAATTTAATTTCCCTCCTGAATAATATCCAATTGCATGACTTTACCCTGACTTAAACTTTTATACTGCTAATAGGGAAATAAGTTATTTCAGAGGTTTAGCTAACATAGCCAGGCATAATGACACATACCCATAATTCCAGTCACCCAGTAGGCTGGGATAGAAAAAACATAAAATCAGGCCAGTCTTGCAATTTAGCAAGATATTATCTTGAAATTATGTTCTTAAATGAACTAAGATATAACTCATTCTGCAGGTTAAATCTCCAGTATCACAAAAATAGCTAATATAATTTTCTATTATTGTTCTTATGACTATCTTTGTGTAAATATATAACAATTTTTAAAACATTTATACCTTTAGTTAATATATTTGCAATTAAAACATTTCTTTTTCTGAAAAAAATAATTAAGCGTTTATTTACACTTACTGCTTTTTCCTTTTCTTCCTCTCATTACAAGGTTGGTAAAACTACAGTCACATTTTTGGAGCCAAGGATATTGTTCAATAATAGTCCTCAAGGATTAACAACTTGGAAGAAAGCCATTCTTCATAATGTCGGACAAAACCATGCATTTTTCAAGGTAATAAAAATTTTCGATCATTTCTTATTTGAATCAGTACATATGATTTGAATCAGTTTTTTGGTGTGATCAATCATCTGAAGATAATACTGTGCTCGTAATAAATAGATTTGTAGTCATTTTAAAATCATTTTTGCGTAAAAAATTTCTGAATACAACTAAATGGGTTTGTCCCTTTAATTTTCTGTAAGCATTGTTTCTTTCCCTTCCTTCTTTCCTTTTTAGATACTTCCTGTCTTTTCCTCTTCCCTGTTTTTCTCCTTTGGTCTGCTATTTAATTTTATTTTTAAAAATGTTAGAAAAATGTTTTAACTATATATGTTAAAATTAATACTTCATTATATAATTAGTTACATGTTTCTCTTTGTTTTCATTCTATAGTCTGTGCTGATCTAATATCATGGATACCATTCTGAAGATAGTCTATTTATAGTCATTGATTCTTATCTAAATGGAGTGAGGGAATATTGGTGTTGAGATTTTTTTTAATAAAAAAGTATATTTAGACCCATACCTCATTAGTAGTAATAGAGGATAGCATGTGAAATCTTTCATTCAGGCTTTACATTAACATGTCTTTTTCAATTAAATGAACTCTTTCCAAAATAATTGAAAAAAATCCTTTTCTGCTTTGCTGCTTCAGAATTAATCCCTGCCTAAATAATCTATTTGGCTGCATGTTCCTAAAATATTTTGATAAGTTACCTTTTAAATTATTCTAGATTTAAAGTTGCTACATAGATTTAAATTGATCTCTAGCAAATTACACATAAAGCCTTGGTAAGTTACTTATAATATATTTGAAAATCAAAATGATATCTTAGAATTAGACCTTCTATCAAGGTGATAAGAAAAGGAAAGATTGCTTCCGTCTCTTGTCTTCTCACCAACTGATGCTTTTAATCTTTAGGAACCGGGAAACCCGTGATACTTAACTTTGTCTAGAATGTTCTCATCATCATTAAGACATATCTCATTCATTTAAGCTTTGCAATTTTGAAAGTACAGCTGGAAATAAACTTTTCTTTCTATTTAAATCAGAAAATGCCCATACTGTATGTTAAATTTCTTGTGGCAGATTCAAACTCTGATATTTTAAAACAATATTACAAAACCGCTTCATGTCCTGTGCCCAGGTATTCTCTCTAAGTAGTAGTATGGATGCTTCCCAGTGAAGCTTTGAAGTAATAATTTTAAACATTGTGTAGCATTTATACAAATTTTCAATTACAGGTTTGTGACCAGAGTCTTTTGTCTACCATTAATATTACTCCATCACAAGGAATAATTCCATTCGGGGGAATAACTGTTCTTCACATCTCCTGTAAACCCTCTGTTGCAGAAAAATTTGATACAAAAGCCAAGGTATGTCTATCCGTAGGTGTTTCTACACCATAAACCTATACTGATTTTTTTGATTCTGTAAAATATTTAAAGTAGTGGGTATATTATTATAAAATATTGCACACTTTCATTCTTAGAAAAACTACTTTGATCTGTCAAGGAAGAATTATGAAGCTATGACACTGAAAGGCAATTTTTAAATTTTCTATTATTTTTGTAGAAATTGAGTTAGCTCAACAGATATATGAAATATTTTAGATGTGTAAAACTTAAGAAAATTTATTTAAATCATATAAAATTAGGTACAGCACAGCTTTATGGGTATTTACAGGAAATGTGGGTGGTGGAAGTTGGCAATGGGAATTTCTACTAAGCTGAAATGTATATCTTTCATCAATATGAGATGCATAAAATTATGGTGCTATTTGGCAACCCTGAGTCTGCCAAAACCTCACTGGTAATAGCAAAGGGGGTGGGTTTTTCATAACATTAGGTAGCTTAGGAAAAATCAACAATTATAATAAGTAATTCTAAAGAGTTTTGATAAAGATATGCATTGTATACAAATTATATTCATTAATAAGGTCCAAATAGTATAACACAAAAATTTTACAGCTATATTTTTGAGGAATTATGCAATTGCAAAGACATTTCTTTGATTTTAGGTATTGCCCAAAACTGTATTTCTACAGAACAAATAAAACACGTAAGACCACAGTGTGCAAACTTTTATTCAGTTATAAAACTAAAGGAATAGAATACATTTATTCTTCAATATGGTGATTAGTTATTTGTATTTTCTCACATTAGAAATTGTACATGTAACTATCATTCAAAAAGTGAATGGCTTTAGTTATATTCTCCATTTTGTTTTTAAAATTATCATAACTATAAGTGATTAAGCAATATGCATCTTAATTTAATGAACATTGATTCTCATGACCCCAAAATAAGCTGAAAATGCTAACATATTTTTATAACTATCAATGTGTTGAAAGAAATTTATAAATTATACATTATGTTATATTATTTGAGACTTGGTCATAAGTTTTTATATAATATTCTGGAGAAAATAAAAATAAGATTTTACTAAAATCAATTTTCAATGCATTGTAGAGTTATATTTTTACCACTGTTACTTTTTGTAATATTATAAAATAATGAACTTTATTTATTCACACATTTATCATTCATGGCATACACCAATCTGTGTTGTAGATGCTAACAATGCAAAATAATTAATGTTTTAATCCCAAAGAATTTATAAACTGATGAGACAGTCCTAGAAATCAATCACCAGTTAAAATATAGTATAAGTGCTACAGTGGAAAAATATAGCGGGCTAAGGGATGCAGGAATCTAGGCTTAAAATATTAGAGATTTGCTTATAATAGCTAAACCTTGGAAGCAGTCGGTATGATGCCAACTGATAGATGAATTGATAAAGAAAATGCAATATGTATTACTCAGCCATAAATAAGGATACATTTGAGTCATTTTAAGAAAATATAATAATTATCCAAAGTTTTTAATGCTAGGTGAACTAAATTAGACACATGTTAGATATCACATAGTTCATCATATATGATAAATCCAAAATATAATTTAAAGTTAAAAATAAAAATTAGATGCTAGGAAACAGCGAGAAAAAATTTTTGTCGATGGGAATGAGATCTGGGAATAGGGAAGATATGGGGGATAGGGGAAGAAAAAAGAATCAAAATGTGATATATGTAAGAACCAATTTCCATGATTAACATATATATTATGTATTACAAATATACTAATAAAATTATTTAAAATAAAAGAAAAAAGGAAACAAGTTAAGAATCGGATAACTACTTATAATATTAGAACACATGATGTATTAACTATTTATTGTCTTATTTTGTAATAAATTTTTCTTTTTCATAAAGTAATAAAACATAATCAGATGGGTTTAAAGGGAATAATGACTTGAGAGAAGAAAGGAGGTTAGACTCTTTAGGAAAGAGTCAGTAGCATATGTTTAGGCTTAAGAGAGAAACAGGTACAAGGCATATATGAGAAGACATATAGCATGACTAAATTTACAGACTGCATAAATGATAAGGAGAAAGATGTACTTAGAAATCTGTGTAAGTTTTAGATAACACAGCATCTTACTGACGTTAGGAAGTGGAGTCTTCATCTTGCAAGCTAGGAATTTTCACCATGAACATTTGGCAATGATATTTTTATTTCTCAGAGATCATATTGTTAATAGAGCCATAAACTAGGATTAATAATATTAGTTACAGAGTTCTGAGGCCAATGAAGATGTCCAGGCAAGAAAAAAAAATAACATTATTCTTTAAGAAATCAGACTCCAGGCAATTTCTAGTGAAATTTAACAGATGACTACATAAGTTTTGGTTGTTGAAAAACACATATAAATGAGAGGGGGAGTCATTGGTGAGATAGTGATAAGAATCAGTGTGGAAAGATCAAAAGATGAATGGCAGATTTTAAATGGAAATGCTTGTTTCAGTTGAAAACATCTTTTGGATCACTACATAGAGATATATGATGCATAAATAATCACATAGACTGTATGTACTACTATAGAGGCTAAGGATTAATCTTAGAGGTGACAGTGAAGTTTTAATGTCTTTAGAAAGACCTTGAAGAATAGAAATGGGTCAAATGTATTATTAATTGAAATGTTGGAATGATATACATTGGAAGAATTTGAATGGAGGTGAAAATAGTTTGAGTTGAAGTTGCTCAGGAATTCATTATATATCAAAGCTTGTCAATATCTGTAATGTGATATTTTGGAACTCTTGTCTTTGCAAATGAGTGAAAAAGAAGGGATTAGAGGGGATTGTCAGATAGGTAAATGAATGTATGCATTCAGGTATTATGTATTTGTGACTGGTCATAGTATTCAGGGCATTTTATAAATCTCTGGAAATCAGAAGATAAAGGAAACAATAGTCTAGGATGATGAATAAATTAAGACATCTAGAAGACTTCAATAAGTAAATAATGATGAAGCAGTGAATAAAATTATCCCATAGCTTTTGAGATTTATATAAAGTTAATGAAAAACTTGTGAATATGTAATTTCTTCTGAATGTCTAAATTATTATTCTTATGATTTTAGTCAAATATTTTGAGTATTATATACATTTAAATAAAATATTGGAATACTATTTTAGGAACATAGTAATTTTAATAAGACGAGTTGGCATATTGATTTCAGAAACGATTCTGGAAAGCGGTATTTTGTTGGTTAGTTTTTTTTTTTTTTTTTACCTGTGAATGGTGTCACTAATTCTGTGGAAGACCGAATTCATCACCTTGATTTCTTAGGTGGTTTCTCACTTGTGGTGGTTTTTACTGGATGCACATTCTTCACAGAAATATCACAAGAAATGTGCAGGAAATTTCCATAATATATTTTGTGCATTTATATTATGCTACTGATTTAAATTATGAACTGTTATATAAATTCTACATAATTTTAGCAGTATATGATTGTATTTTAATATGGTTTCTGCAAACTTTTGTATTTCTTCTAAATAAGGTTGCTATTCGCTGTGCAAATATTATAGACCTTAGAATTGGTGGATTTGGTGAAATGGCTGATATTGAAATTGAGCCGGTGAGTATGTTACCTATATGTGTGGTCAATTTATGAGTGTGCTGAATATGTCACAAGTTAACACGTTTATTTATTAAACATAGTTAATTATGCAATAATTTGACATATAAATGTAAGTGTGTATAATGTATAAGTGATGCAACAGTCTAATGAATGATTTCTTTAAAAATTCACTACTGAGTGTAGATATCAAAGCAATGAAAATATCATTAAAATCATCTGCAGGCTTCATCACAATCCTTTCCAGTACTGAGATAATCATTTGTGAGTGACATCAAGTATTGTATGTATAATACTTTAATCATTCATTAGTTTGCTCCTTTCTGAGTTTTGTAATAAAGATATGTGTCTAACCTTTGGTGTGTTGCTGTTGATTATTGTGGCTCTCATTTTCTTGTAAAATATACATAACTATGTTATTCATTGTTGTTACTATATAATAATTTTGTGTAAACATACTATAATTTATGTACTCAGTCCATTGTCCATGCAATAAGCATTTCTGGTTTTTGTTAATATAAAGAATAGTTATAACTATTTATATTCAAGTGCCTTTATAGGAGTTATAATTCCTGAGATACAAAGTATGTGCATGTTTGACTTTATAAGATAATTTATAAATTATTTTTGAGTTCAATTTGCTCACCATTCCATTGCTCTACAAATTGTATTGTTAGATGTAAGTTTTAGTTTATTGAGTTTAAAATAATGGCTCACTGTGTTCTTGATTTGCATTTTCTGAACTACTGTCACATTGAGTTTGTGATTTATTGTCTGTAAACAAAATTTTGCGCTAAAATTGATAGAATACAGATATACACATGTGCACACACCCACAAAAATATAATTTATAAATTCACCATATTTTTTCCTGGCCAGCCTTTCAAGAATAAGAATTAGTCTCATCTATCCAAAGAAACTTTCTCTGTTTCTTCAAAGCAAACTGCATGACCCCTGTTATGACACAGATGTTATGGACTTATTATAGTTTTGAAGCATCCTCATCACAGCAACTGTCATATTATTTTTGGTTTATCTACACTCTCTTTTTGTTTTCCTCTCATTTTTCAACACCCAGCACTATATCAGTGTTGAACTAATTTGAGAAGAAATTTTAGAGCGAAAGGAGTTGCTGGCTACCTCAGGGAAGACTTCAGGGATATTGCGTGCTCTAATGGCATAATAGAAATTCTACTTTAAGTGTATAATTTTCAAACTTGCATATTAAGCCCAGACAGACTAATAAGTAATACAAGTGATGAATTCCTGTCCAGCCCAGACAGACTTACAGATAATAAGCTAGCACATCCAAGGCTTATCGTGATTCCTGGACATGAAATCAGATAGAATCTAGAGTGTTTTATTACACCATATTTGTATACCACCTTAAAAGAGTAGACAGTATTGAGACTTTTTTACTTTATGTCTTCAGTCCAAAATCATTAGGGGTATGCCATACAAGTTATAGTTAATTTGAATAATTTATAGAACTTCATATTAAAATGTATTTATTACTATATCCTTACTATTTTGAGTTTTAGGTGTAGCTGCTTTTAAAAATAATACTCTAATATCAAAATATACTTTCCACAATGCATTTAGCTTATAATAGCATGTGAGGATTTTGATTTTGAGTATATACCATAATCATAAGAAATTATACCCAAATGAAGACATAAGCAAGACAATAATGGGTGAATAGGAATGAACTTTTTACATATATAAAGCATGAGACTCTCACTCATTTAGAATTTTCAAAGTTGCATATGAAAATTTGCATTGATAATTTAAATGATGCAAACAGTACCAAATTGAACCTAATATAGTACTTTCATTCAAAATAATGTTATGAAATCTCCCATTAATGTTCTATAATTCTTTTATCAAGGAACTGTAGGGTATCTATAGTATATATCATAAGATGGAGCCTTAAGAATTTCATGGCATATGCTTAGTATATGAGCTAGCATTCCAATATGTTCAATAACAATTTATTAGCTAGGTGTCCCAACACGTACTACAAATGTAAAAATGAACTGAAATCTTCAATAAAGATTGTTTGGGGCTCTTTGCTATTGTTATTTGTCTTGTTTCATGTTTTTCTAGTAAATTGTTTTGTTTTGGTTTGTTTTTCCTCTAATACAGAAAGATAGGTATACAGATAGAGGCTTATACATGCATAGAACTTCACCTAAACAGTTTATGAGAATTGATTATATTATACGTGATGAAATGAACAGCTATTTTGAAGAAAAGGAGACAATATTCTATCCATTCCAGATACCAATATGTCATGTTGTTAAATCCAGTAATGCTATTATTTTTTGTTCAGAGTGGTTTTAGCCTGTTTTGTATTGTTTACTTTCAACATACATGAAGCTATGGGCAGCTATTTTGAAGAGAACGATAGACTTATGGTAGCCATTGTTGATTTTCCTATTGCCTGGTTTTGAAGGCCTATAATACTTTCATCACTCTGTTCTGATCAGTTAAATGCTGTTCTGTTTTGTATGAATTCATTTTGTGTGAAGATATGGACAATTATTTAGAAGAAAACCAAAGACATTATGGTAGATATCCTATTATCTTGATTTGAAATTGGTGTCACGTTGTTATCTTCTGATCTGCTTTGTTCTGTTTTGATATGTTTAGTTTTACCCTCTTTAAAATAAAAGATTCATATATGTAAGCAGACTATGTGGTGTCACAGTGTAACCAAATTTAAGGAACAGAAATATTACTGAGAATTATGTGATTAGTTGTGGTTTATTTAACCCACCAGTGATGGATGCATAAAAAATTTATTAGGCAATTGCTAGTCAAGGAATGGCCTTTCTGATAGAAGAGACTCCATGATTAAGACACAGAAGGCTGAAGTATCAGGTGTTGGCTAAAAATGATAAGTCATGATGCTTGAAGAAGTATTAAATGCTAGTATATGAGTGGAGCTAATTGAAGCTGGAACACAGTGCAGAATGTGAGGAGTTTTATGAGCCTTAATAATGAACTTGGGTACTGTCCTATAGATGTGGAGAAATCATTAAATTTTAAGACATGGATTAAAGTGGTCAGACTCTCAATTACTTTAATAGCGGATCTGTTGTGGAGAGAAGGCTTATGAAAGTCAAAATCTAGAGACTAAATGAAAATTGATAGTTTATTAATTCCATGCCATTAGAACAAGTGTAAGAGGTGAAGATGGGGAAAAATAATGTTATTTGATATTGGTTACCTGTAGAAGATGAGGAAGAGGAAGAAATTTGTGATCTTTTATGGAATTCTGCTTTGCAGTTAATAAGTTCCTTGATAATATTTTAGTAGATATATTTAAGTAAGCCAATTATTAGTAATTTTGTTTCTTTTAAATTTTAGACTGTGTTTCATTTCAACGGCACCTTTGTTGGCACTACCCATATTATTCCATTTGTAATAAAAAACAAAGGTGCAATACGTGCCACGGTGGATTTTGACCTTAAAGACTTTCCAGAGTTTTCAATCAATTTCAAGGACAAATCAGGTACATGTTTTATGCTTTTTCATATTATTGTAAACAAAAGGTTTTAAATTCTTCTAAGATATAATAGTTAAAAATTTAAGTCAATGACACTCACTCTTAAGTGTTTCAATGGCTCACTGTTTGATTTTCTAATAATCTATAAATCATTTTGGTTTTATTTCTAGAAATATGTTAGAACACTTTGGTAAATACATGACATATTACTATATGTATTATTATAATTCAAAAAATGAGAATGACATTCTAAAATTAGTATTGTAAATAATACAAGAATCCTAGAGCATACAAGAACTATACTAAAAGAGCAGGTGGAACAGAGGTGACCAAGGGCTTTTTGTTTACTTTTATCTGTGAATTGAAGTGTTGTAGTACCATTACAGAATTTCTATCCAAGCAGTGTTATTCTTAGGCTCACAGTTTAATAATTTCCCTTTTAGAGCAGAATTGGGAATGTTCTGGGGGAAGACAAGATGAGGAGTTTAACAGCATGGATATAGAGACCAGTTAGATGCTACGGGCATACAACTAAGAAATGAGGAGAGCCTGAACTCAGGCAGCTCAGGCGATGATGCTGAGAATAGAAAGGAAGACAGTACAAAGACACATACATACTATAAAATTAGATATGCTATGGGTTTGTGACTCTGGTTATCAGCATTAGGAAACAGCAAGAAACTACCAGTAACATTTAGTTTTTGATTTCTAAAAGGTAGGTGGCTGAAAGTGAAATTTGTAATTAACAGAATGCAAGAGTAGGATTAGGATTAGGTAAGCCTGATAATTTTTAGCATTCTGTGGAATTGACCAGTAAAGATTACAGTATGTAACTAGAACTACATGTAGAAAGTACACTCAGTTTAAAAAAAAAACATAGATACTGAAAAATTTTAACTATGTTACTTTATTCCAGATGTCCATATACTTCCTTATATTTAGTTCTATGGATGATTGACTCTTATTAGCAATTCAGAGCTACTTTTTCCTTAAGCCTTTACTGTAACTGAAGACTCCTCTCTAGGAAACTGCAAGTCTTCTTGCTCATACATGTTTGAGAGAGTAGTCTTGTTACATCAAAGATTCAGTCACATTTATCCTCCACTTAAAACGTTTTGGAGGAGTGGAATGATAAAGTACTTGATATACCCATACATGTATGAAAATGAAACACACAACTGTTTGCAGTCTCTCTGTTTGAATGTTTACTTTGTATGCTTTGATACTATGACTTGAGCAACTATCTCTAAGACGATAATGTGTAATCTATTAACTGGTGATTTCTTACTTTTTTTTTTTTTTGTAGTTCTGTATTACTTGTACCCTTAAACCGATTTGTTTTGTTTTGTTTTGTTTTTTCTCTTTTTCCTTTTAAATAAAATTAAAAAAAAAAGAAAATGAAGCAATGAAATTTATTGTTCTGCATAAGCCATATGCACTAACAAAATATATGTAGTGAAAAGAAGCCATAATGAAAACAAAATATAAATAACCTACTTTAAAATAAAAAGGATTTGCTAGTTTTCTATTACCAATAGCAGTGTTTCTCATCTGCACACTGTATCCAGTTGACTGAAATCATTTTTTTCTTCTTACCTTTGATACATTAAGGTGTTGTGTGGTCTTGCTGTAGCACTGGCACAATTCTGATTGATATTAAAGGGAGTTGTGTACATTTTTACCCCCTACTATATTGAAAGCTACATGTGATCAAGGATCATTTTTATGATTTTTGTTTTCTACTAGTAGTTCATTGTTGTGCTATGACACAGCAGGTAAATCTGGAAATATGCACTGAATCTAACTTGGTTATTTTAAAAGTGAATTTGTTTTAGATTACCAAGTGCATTTATGTTTTACAATTGGATATTAGCTTTGCTTTTTAGAATCTTTCTGTCCACAGTGATGGGCTATCTAGTAACTTTATGCAGCAACTCTACCCAGTAAGTGCTTTTTATTGTTGAATACAATAATGAAACTATTCAGTTTGCATTTTCACATTAATAATGGTGTTTTAGATATGCAACTGATTGTATTGTAATGTATATGTACATTTTTCTCTCCTGTAGGACATTACACAAATGCTGATGCATCTCATATAAATTTTTTGGAGTTAGAAAAACACTCATTGCTAGAGTGTGGCATAGTATTTGCTCCCAAAGAAGTAAGTTCAAGTTTTTATTGCTTATACTATTGGAGAGTAGTGCAGTTACAGATAATTTTAACTAAGAACCTATCAAAGATCACCTAAAATATTTGTCGTGTATCTTTTTTCTAACTATAAGAATGCCTATCTCTACCTTTTAATTTAACAAAGTAATTGGTAAGGATGTCTGGTTCATGTTTGCAGAGTGCCTCGAGAGGTACACAGGGCAATGATTTTGTATCCTTTGCAGTGTCCTCTAGAAAATTTAAGATGCTGCATAGCATCTTGGGGTGGAAAGTGTAAGCTTCTCAAAAGCTTCACTTATGTTCAATCTGGCTCATGGTTTCTGTGCATATTTGGGTAGTGTATGCTTAATGATCTTGAAAGTACTGCTTGAAATTGCGAAGACAAGTTGCAAATATTTAAGATGAATTGCTATTATACTGACTTATTTTACACTGTTCCTTGACGTTTAATGATTTTAGAGCAAACTAACAAAATCAAGGAAAACTCTTACCTCAAATATTCCCAGAAGGAAAGGGCATCACTGGCTGAGTTTTAGCAGTGTGCTCTGTTGTGCTTTTGCTTCAAAGCTTTTGAAATGATATGAAAACTTAAAAAAATAATTTTTACTTAGCTAGATTGATGCTTTTTACTCAATATTACTATACTACCTTCAATAATGTTTTTAGTAATGCTAGTTTTATTGAAATATAAATTTTACTTTTGGAATATATATATATCTGCTATTTAGCTTTTGGGAAGAAAAAAGCCAAGGCCTGGAGAGCAAGTCTAGATGTAAAGGGATGGATGAAAATGCTGCCATTGTTAAATGTGGTACACTTGGGTAGGTTTTGTGGTGGTTCACAAGGTAGTGTTGCTTACAACATTTATTCTCACTTCATCTTAGATTAACGTATGGAAGTAAGTAGCAAAGCAACTTTTCTAAGATTCTAACAGTTAAAAATCTTTTTAAAAAAAATTTAAACAAGGGGCTGGGAATTTAGCTCAGCGGCATAAGCAACTGCCTTGCAAGCAGGCGGTCGCGAGTTTGATTCCCGGTACCAATTAAAAACAAACACAGTATTAACTATACTCAGATATGTACTAACCTATTCAGTTTCCACAAATTTTGTGTGGTTTTGTTGCTCATATTCAAATACAGTTTAGCAAGATTACCATGAAAAGACAGAACATCTTTGCATTTTAAGAGTAATCCTAAGAATTTTTCTTCCAGCTAGTTTAGGCTATGAAATATTATCAGCATACATAATTTCTCCTATTTGCCTTTTGTCTTTTCAGTGAAATGCTTTTCAGTACATGAAATATATCACACTATTTCAATATTTTTAAAATAAGACAGTCTATTATTTTTTCACTTGATTCAGACAAAAGTTAATTAAAAACATAATTTGGAAATTTTCAAATAATGCTCTCTTTTTCATTTTTACCTTATTCTAACATTTTCTGAAAGCTACTATATTTCACATTTCGTAATCATTTCTAATTCTTGTCAACATGAAATTTTAATGAATACCATATATCAGTGATATTATCTTCCTGATTATTAGACTTTATTTGGATATTTAATCGAAATTAGAAGAGCAAATGGAAAAAATAAATATCCTAAATCCTAATAATTTAATAATGAGTATTGGCACTTTTTCATTTTGTGTCTATTTTTCTTTTTGCTCTATCCATCTCTAGACCCATACTTATATATTTGTAATTTTAATATTATAATACTTTGTCAACTCTTTTTAAGGCATATTTTAAATGTTTATATAAATTGAAATATTGTGACTTAATTTCTATTTCAAAATATCCCAAATAGTTTTTACTAGAAAATTTATATTTTCTACCATTTTCTGGCTATATGATGTCATGTTCATTTAACTGATTCTTCTCTCTGTACACTTAAGAGTTTTCCACACTGGTTTTAGAAATGATACTGGAAAAATGTCCTTACAGAAAATGTTTGCTTTCACACCATGTATTTTATTATATCTTCCTGGATATGGGAGAGATGAGTCAAACTCATTGCAAATTGCTCTCCAAAACTATTTTTTCATTTTTTTAAAATTTTATTTTCAAGAGGGTAAGATTAAACTGAGCAAAACAGAACAAAACAGATCATAAGAAAACAATGTAAAACACAGATTTCAAAGCACAACAATCAGAGATGTTCACTGTCTAAAACACTGTCTCTTGTTTTCTTCCAAATAGTTGTCCATATCTTTGCATAAAATGAACTCATAAAAATAAAATAGTATAAAACTGATCAGAAGAGGATGATGAAGGCATTTTAGGTCTTCAGACAATAGAGAAGTCAACATTGGCTACCATAATGTCTCTCATTCTCTTCAAAATAGCTGTTCATACCTTCACGTATGTTGAAATTAAGTAAACCAAAACAGACAAAAATCACTCTGAACAAAGAATAATAGTATTGCTGGATTTGACATCATGACACTATGGAATCAGCACTGAATACTTACTTTTTCTTCAAAGTAACCGTTCATTTCCTCATGCATTATATAATTGATTCTCATAAACTGTTTAGAAGTTCTACAAATGCATGAGTCTCTATGTGTATACCTATTCTTTCTGTATTAGAAGGAAAAACAAAACAAGACAAAACAAATTCCTAGAAAAACATGAAATGAAAAAGACATATAAATGACAATAGCAAACAGCTCAGATCACTGACAATATAGGCCTTCAAAACAAGGTGATATGAGCGTAACTAAGGGTTTTATTTTACATAATGATCTTCAAGAGTTCCTCAGATCATCATACAATAATACGCACAATTGTTTCAGTCCTATGAATGTTAAATATTTTGTTCTGAGAACTTAGAGAATTTGTAGCACAATCATTTTAGCTATCCTAATTGTGTTTATATAATTTAATTTTTTGTATTTTTATTTTCCCTTCCTTTTTCTTTTCCCTCATTTTCCCTGAGATATTATTTTTGCCCTTTAAGGATTTTCTTGTGACTTCGCTGTATTTTTTGAGTTTTTTTGTATCTTATGTATTCTTTCCATTTCTTATACTAGGGAGACTATATGGTATTTACACATGTGAGTTTGATACTTTTCACTTACTAGTATGTTCTCAAGTAATATTACTTATAAATATTACTTATAAAATTACTTACAAATATCTCCATGTGATCATACTATACAGTGGAGTAGTACTCCATTGTATAAAAATACCACTTTTTTATCCATCAATCAGTTGATGAGCACTTAGTTTGTTTCCAAGATCTGGCTGTTACAGCTTGTGCTGCTATAAACATGGGTACACATATATCACTGTGGTATGATGCTTTCAGTTCTGGGAATGTGCCCACAAGTGGAATAGCTGGGTCAAATGGGACTTCCAATCCTAGGTTTTTGAGCAATCTCCATACTGACCTCCACAGTGGTTGCACCAGCCTACACTCTCACCAAAAGTGCAGAAGAGTTCTTTTTTTCCCCACAGCCCCTCCAGCACTTTTTTGTGGTAGTTTTCTTCATCCTGGCCATTCTTTCTGGGAGTGAGATGGAATCTCAGTGCTGTTTTAACTTGCATTTCTCTAATGACCAATGATTCTGAACAGTTTTCACATATTTATTTGCCATTTGTATTTCTTCATCTGAGAACTGTGTATTCATGTCAGATGCCCATTTTTGGAATGGGTCTTTGAGTTTTGGGGATTTTTTTGATTCTTTATATGATTCTCATTTTGATTCTTATTTTGATTCTTTGATTCTCATTTTTTTGATTCTTTATATGTTCTGGACAGAAGTTCTTTGTCTGAGGGATTGTTCACTAAGATATTTTCCCAATTTGTGGGTTTTCTTTTCACTGTGCAAGAGATTTCTTTCGACATGCAAAAACTCTTTAACAGGACATGATCCCAGTTGTTGATTCTGTGATAGATTTCATGTACAGTTTGATTCATGTTCATGAGTTCTCTATCTACCTTTACGCCGTCAAGATTTCTACCTACTTTGTCTTCCAACAAATTTAGTATTTCTATTTTAATATTTAGATCTCTGATCCATTTAGACTTTAGTTTAGTCTACAGTAATAGGCATGGGTCTAGTTTCAGTTTTTGACATACAGAGAGCCAATTTTTCTAGCACCATTTATTGAAGAGACTGTTTTTTTTTCCCAGTGAAAGTGTTTGGCCCCTTTATCAAATAAAAGGTGGCTGAGTGTGTTTATAGTTGTAGTTTTATCTTCTAATCTACACCATTGAGCTTCAGGTCTGTTTTTATTGCAGTACTATGCAGATGTTATTACAGTAGCTTTTCAGTACAACTTCAAGTCAGGGACTGTGATGCCTCCTGCCTTGCCTTTCTTGTTTAGAATTGCCTTTGCTATTCTAGGTCTCTTCTGGTTCCAGATGAATTTTAGAAGTGATTTCTCTAGATCTGTAAGGTATGCTAGTGCCATTTTGATTGGAATTGCATTAAATCTGTATAATGCTTTCGGGAGAATGGCCATTTTCACAATGTTCGTTCTTCCTATAAATGAACAAGGGATATCTTTCCATTTCCTGAAGCCCACTTTGATTTCTTTATTCAGGATATTATAATTTTCTCGGAATATATCTTTTGCTTCTTTTTTTAAGATTAATTCCTAAGTATTTCATGGTTCTGGATGCTATTGTAAAAGGTGTGCTTTCTCTTATTTCTCTCAGTGGTTTTGTTGTTAGTGTATAGGAATGCTACTGACTTTTGAGTGTTGACTTTGTATCCAACTCTATTACTGAATCTATTTATTATACCTAGTAGCCTTTCAAGAGAGTTTTGGGGGTCTTCTATGTAGAGTTTCTTGCCATCTTCAAAAAAATGATAATTTAATTTCTTGTTTTCCTATATTTACTCCTTTTATTTCTCTCTCTTATCTAATTGCTTTGGCTAGTGTTTCCATCACTATATTGAACAGGAGTGGTGATAATGCATATCCTTGTCTTATTCCTGATTTTAGGGTAAAGACTTTCAGTTTTTGACCAATGAATATGA